TTGGCTGCCCACTAAAACACTGCCTTGGATCCTGCTATACCATTGGTTGTTGGCTGCCCACTAAAGCACTGCCTTGGATCCTGCTATACCATTGGTTGTTGGCTGCCCACTAAAGCACTGCCTTGGGTCCTGCTATACCATTGGTTGTTGGCTGCCCACTAAAACACTGCCTTGGATCCTGCTATACCATTGGTTGTTGGCTGCCCACTAAAGCACTGCCTTGGGTCCTGCTATAGCATTGAGGCGAATGCGTAAGACACAATGCACATGTGTACACCAGTAATAACATAATCTTGATTCCCATTACGCAATGATTTTGCACCAAAATAGAAATGTAGTTTATATTTTTCCTGGATGAATCAATGTTTTAGCAGTTATTTTTAGTTTGTGTTTAGTTAATCTGTTTGATCCAATGTAGTGAACATCAATTTGTTGCACATCTACCTCCTTTTGCCCCTACAGGATCCATGGTGGTGTTTGAGTGGGCAGCCAGTGACTGAATGTTATAGTTTCCACTCTGACAGTGTTGTGGGTTCAGAGCTTGTTGATTTTATGCTGTAATTGTAATATCAATGTCTCAGTGAGATCTCAAGATCTTGAAATATCAATGCATATAGTATAGTGTGCCAATTTCTGTTGACCCTGTGATAAAACGAGGTGGTATTCTGACATTGGAATATTTAGTCGGTAGTCAACGTGTTATGCATATGGATGATTTGTATTGATAAACACAACCCAGTGCACTCTTCTAATGGCAATCAGGTTTTGATATTGCCGTAATTTGCATTAAATACCAACTTTGTAGATCATTAGAATCTTTTGATGCGCTCCAATTGTCATTACAAGTTAAACTTTGGTAGTGTCACATTTGTTGATATGTCCATCAGTCAGAGTCACCATATTTGTTTATATGGGACTGTCCTTTACAGCAATTCTGAAACTTATTCAGAGAGTCAGTTAACAAGATGGCAAGACAAATAAGTTTCAGAATCGTTTTAACTATACACAGCCCTTACAATAAACTCCTTTGAGAATGAGTGACTCAGTTCAATACTCTATTTTTATCTACATAATCAATTTTGTTTTTTTCTGTAGGTGACTTCGTAGATTAATTCGGAAGTTCCTGCATGTCATACTTCATAGTGACCACCTTGATATAATAACAATCATGGCTGACTCGTTCATCCAGACGGAACTACATGAATTGAGAAAGGAATATCAAAAAGAGCTTCCTGGTAGTGAGTTGATAGCATGTCACCCTGTATCTGTCAGGGTAAAAATGACGTAAGTGAAGTATCTCTCCAAATATTTACGTTGGCATTTTTTCAATCTATTGTGAATTACCGCGATGTTAAAATTATGATCTGTTAGCACTGATTTTGACCCAAAAGATGGTGATTCACATTCTTTTAATGTGAATGAAGTTACAGGTCATGTTGAAGCATAGTTTACCCATGATAGCCACAGTGGACACTGTGTTTAAAGTAAAAACCATGTCCAGTGACCAGGTTTCAAAACTAAATGGTCACATTTTGGTGTTTTGGAAGCTACCTGCTTTCAATGATTCAAGTATTGATTACCGGTACTTCAGTATTGCAACATTGGATTCATCACGAGTAATAACAATACAGAAAGAGTGTGTGTATCACTGAGGTTCAACCAGGGGTATTTTTGAAAGCTGTAATCAATTATTTTTATTTTTATAATAATGTAATTTTATAAATAAAAAACGTAAATTCGTAGACATTAGCAAGGTGTAAAATGTAATCAGCTAATGTAATTTTGTTCGTAATTTGTACAATAATCTTATTTTTTGTAAGCGTATAAGGCATTTTTCACATTAAAAGTCTCAACAAATTATCAAATATATTATAAAAATGTACAATGTAATTAGGAATTTGTTTTATCTGTTCATATAATTTCCTGTAAAAATGTAAAATGCCTTTTATATTTCTTGTAACCTGTACCAGCTAAACCCCCCTCCCCCCGCTCCATTTTTGAACTGCCAGACTCAGATATTACGTTAGCATTTCGTGTAGCGAGTCCCGATGAAAAAATGTACTGGAGCTTGCAATGTATTCTGTGTATAAATGGGACCTCCTTTTATATTTAAGTGGGGATCCCTCTTTAATATTGGGAAAGTATAGAGTTACATGTAACATAATCTCTGACATTTACATGCATGTATAATTAATGCAGGAAAACCGAGTACAGACAGTTTGATGTGTGTCTGCAGTTTCCGGAGGGATATCCAAATACATCTATAGTAGTGGAGCTGAAGAGTAAAACTATTCCAGAAAAACTGCGAGATGGTTTAACAAAAGTATGTGATACTGAAACGAAAAAATTATGTGGAAAACCACAGGTTAGTATTTTATAGTACTGAAGAGATAGGTTATATTGAAAAAAATAAGAAAGGGTAGAGATATAAGAAGAACTGAGAGATGGTTTAATAAAATATCTAATACAAAAAAATTATGTGGAAAACCACAGGTTAGTATTTTATGGTATTGAAGGGAAATGTTGATGTGGAAAAAAAGAGGAATGGGTACAAGAAAAAACTTGTTTGCACAGTCATTTTTGTCCCTCTGCATATATTGTTCTCATGTTTTTAGTTTCATGACAACTTTTTCTATAAATGATTTCTTCTGGAAAACCACTTAGAGAACAATTGTTTTATACATCTCATCTTATGGTTAAACCATAGACCCTCTAACAGAGGGTCTAACAGAGGGTCTAACAGAGGGTCTAACAGAGGGTCTAACAGAGGGTCTAACAGAGGGTCTAACAGGGTCTAACAGAGGGTCTAACAGAGGGTCTAACAAAGGGTCTAACAGAGGGTCTAACAGAGGGTCTAACAGAGGGTCTAACAGAGGGTCTAACAGAGGGTCTAACAGAGGGTCTAACAGAGGGTCTAACAGGGTCTAACAGAGGGTCTAACAGAGGGTCTAACAGAGGGTCTAACAGAGGGTCTAACAGAGGGTCTAACAGAGGGTCTAACAGAGGGTCTAACAGAGGGTCTATTAGAGGGTCTAACAGAGGGTCTAACAGAGGGTCTGTTAGAGGGTCTAACAGAGGGTCTGTTAGAGGGTCTAACAGAGGGTCTAACAGAGGGTCTGTTAGAGGGTCTAACAGAGGGTCTGTTAGAGGGTCTAACAGAGGGTCTAACAGAGGGTCTAACAGAGGGTCTATGGTTAAACACAAGATTTGAGGTTGAGACTAGTTGGAGCTGAAGTAGCCCTGTTTAACCTGTTCACACATGTTTTTTAACAGTGGATTAAAATTAACTGGATCAAACCATACGTTGTATTTCAAAGTACATCTTTAGACTATGTTCTAATCTGTCGGTCTGAACTGATAATTAACCTTGTTTCCTGTCTTTCAGAGATAATTTAGTTGCTTAGCTGCAAAAACATGCTTGAATCCTGAGAAGTTAGCTGTTACAAACATTTTCTTCAACAAAGATTCAACACAATTAACTCAATAAACAGTAATTTCAGAAAATTTTATAACAAAGAACGATTTCAATTATTTTATAATCAAAATCAAAACACCCACAATTGTATAGTTGGATTATCATACTACCCGGTACCTAAAACCAGGATTTGAAGAAAATAATTTTGTATTACCTTCTCAGTTATCTCATTTTGCATTTGTTATTATTGAAACCTTTTTGTAATTTCATTAATTTTATTTTGAATATACCCGAATTAGAAATGTAAATTTTCTTAACAGTATAGCAGCTAAACATTTGGTTAATTCTGTAAACTGTGCATCTTTATAACTATTTATTAACTTTTGTGTCTTTCAGCTTTTACCCGTTTTAAGACTTCTTAAACAATTTTTAGATGACAATCCATTTGCAATATGTAGTGAAGAGCTAAGTTTTATCAAAAAGGAACTAATTACAGAAAAAGATCAGATCAAAGTGAAACAGAAATCTGGCAGTATCAGCATGACAATATATCAAGATAATTATTACTTTTCGTTTAAAATGATTGTTCCGGAAGAATATCCAGCAAAACAAGTATGGTAAGTATAAAATGGTTTCTCAGGGTTCTAAATGGGTATCAATTAAACAGCTGATAGTCCAACAGTTTATACAGTTCTTTGTTTTTAGAAGAAAAAAAGGCAATGCAGTGTGGGTAAAATTATTGTTGATCAACAAATATTATAGATATACACAGTGAGATGACTGATGGTCTAATTTTTATACATTGTAAAACCATTTATTTTCACTGGCATCAATTTTCAGTATATTCACTGCGTTTTAAGTTTAGAAAATTCTCATAAAAATAATTAGAAGCAGGGCTATTTGGTAGCAGATATAAGACTAGTCAGATTCAGACTATATAAACCATGTTATAAAGTGTTCTATTTGTTGTGTTTATGTTGTGTTCACCGATGAATTTAGCAGTGAAAATAGAGAAGTTAAAACCCGGTAAACAATTAACAGGATAATGCATTTTCATCCTTTTCCATTTTCTAATTTAAATTAAATTTAAATGTTTGATTTCATTTAACAGTATACAAAAAGTAGATGATAACTTCCCTAAATTATTCAGTACTGTGTTCTTCAATCAAGCAATTGAGATGGCCAGACAGTGCGTGGAACCACCGTTGAAAAAGAAACCAAAGTATGTAACCAATATAGTAATACACTCTGTAGTGTACATATTTTACCACCTTTTTTTCTCCCCTTTGTTCAAAGCGCTGTACAACACTTGAGTCAATGGGAAGCTAGTCTCAGAAGTATTGGGTTGCCAATCACTTTGGTTTTTACTAAATTGAATATTATCCTTCTTTCACCATCAAATGCTGGTAATATCTAAAAACTTATTTTAAATAAGTTTACAGGACAGAAAAGTATGCAAAATTGTTAGTGTAAATCTAATCTTCTTAGTCAAAACCAAAGTTGTCAGCTTATTCTGCCCAAATACTTAGGCCAGACTTTTTTTGACTCCCATGTGCAAAGCACAAAAAGGGAGTCTTTGCAGTTAGTGTATGTGTGTGTGTGTGTGTGTGTGTCTGTTCCACTGATATCTCAAGAACCATACATTGATTTTTGATGAAACTTGGTGCATAGATGCTCTGGGCCAATGCACAGATTTGATTAGTTTTGGGTAAAAATCTGTGCAATATTAATTACCTAATTTGCATAATGATTTTCGGCTTTTCCACTGATTTTTTAAGTACTAGTACTAATCATCACATTTCAATGAAATTTTGTACATAGATGTCATAGGACAGACCTGATAGTTTTTAGGGTAATATCAGTACATATTAATTACCTAATTTGCATAATTAATTAATTTTCAGCTTTTGATATTTAGCTTTGCTGTCGACTTTGTCGAGCGGAGCTTATCATATGAGTGTTTGTCCGTCGTCGTCCGGTGTCTGTCGTCGTCCGTGTCAATGTTTTACTTTTTCGACT